GAGGCTGGCTGGGGAATTCTGGGAGTTGAAGTCCACACATCTGAAAGTGCCCAAGGTTGAAAAACACTGCATAGAATTACAAAGATGGGACATCTAAAAAGCCAAGCACTGTCCCCCTCCCTCCAGTTTTCTGCATCACGCTTGGCTTTATATATAATCATGTCCCCCCTTAGTTGCTTTTTTTTAAGCTAGAATCCCCAACTGCCTTTATGCAAAAATTACTTCTTCTTTCTCCCCCGTCTGAAGTGACACACAGACACACACACACAGGTCCTGGCTGTTGGAAAATTAAATCCTGCCGCACCGCAGAGTCGCCCAGCAACAGCTGTTCCCACTGACCTTGTCAATGTATTGAGGGAGCAGCTCTTCAAAGACCTTGGCGGTGTGTTCACTGACCTCGGATGGCTTGACCACCACCGCGTTCCCTGAAAGACACACAGAGGCTGGAGAATTAGAAGGTACCCCTGAGGTCATGTAGTCCAACCCCGCGGTCCATGCAAGAGCCCAAATCGACACATCTGGAGAAGGGGAGCCCAACCCTTCTCCAGACCATGGCTTCCTGTCAACGTGCTTCGTTCTAAAATCCATCGGTCAGAATCTCCCTTTTTGCACCCTAACCCAGAGGCGAGCGTTCTCTGGTGGAGCTCCCCTCCTGGGGTTCCAGCTGCCCTTAAAAAAAAAAGGGAGAGCTGAATCCTCATTCTCTGCCCTTTCTAAATGTTGATTCTAAACCTGGATATTTAAGCAAGTCTTTGGGAACTAGGGATGTGTGAATTAGACACCTGGAGGGTGCGCAGTGCTATTATTCATGATGTCTTTATGAATTAAAGTAGATGTTATTTTTTTTTACGGATCTTATTGGTATTCTTTTTTTTTTTTTGCTATATGTTTTATGATACTCGTAAGTCCCCTAGATTCACCCAATTCAAGTGGCATAAAAGTACCTGTAATAAATAAGTAAATAAATAACATATATCTACTATTCTGTGTTCTGGACTCTGGAACGATAGAGAACAGACCACGGTGTTCTTCTGCTACCCTTTTACCCTAAAGAGAGTGTTCAGATGTTCTCTCAATTATCTTTTTTCAAGCCTCAAGGTACTGTGTTCTGGTCTCTCAATTGCTTTTTGGGGAACTTAGTTTCCAGTTCACTCTTGTACTCCCTAACCTCCTGTGAAGCAGGTTGTCTGAATCCTACTAAATGTTGTGCCCAGAGAGATGGGCAAATAAGGACATTTTGATACAGAAGCTGAGAACTGCCTCTATCCTTTGCGTTCTAAGCTCAGACTTTTCAAAGTACAGGCAAGCACCTATATCCTTGGATATATATTTTATTTATTTTTAATTTATATATCGAATTTGTCACTGCCCATCTCATTAAAAAAACGACTCTGGGCGGTTTACAAAGAAGTTAAAATCAATTAAAAATACAATATAAAATGGTCTTGAATAAATAGAAAATAAGTATCATCCAAGAATAGAAGTTACATTGGCAGGTAGCTTGGGGAGCCTCATCAAGGCACCAGCCACCCCCAGGATTGGGTGAAAATTTTTAATTGATTTTAACTTCTTTGTAAACCGATTGGCAGGTAGCTTGGGGAGCCTCATCAAGGCACCAGCCACCCCCAGGATTGGGTGAAAGCGGTTTACAAAGAAGTTAAAATCAATTAAAAATACAATATAAAATGGTCTTGAATAAATAGAAAATAAGTATCATCCAAGAATAGAAGTTACATTGGCAGGTAGCTTGGGGAGCATCATCAAGGCACCAGCCACCCCCAGGATTGGGTGAAATTCTTATTCTTATTCTTATTATTTGACCATGACAGGTTGCCCAACATGCTTTCAGGCAAGAAAGATCTGTTGCATTAAGACTGGTGCCTCTCGCTGCCTTTTTCCTCATCCCCCCCCCCAACAGCCTTTTCCTTGCATGCTATGACTTTCAATTGGTCAGAATATGCGGACAAGACATCCAAGGAGCCTGTAGGGTATTTAAAAAAACCAGAAAGAAAACCAGCAATGCTTCAAGCGAGTAAACGAAGTACCTGCGGCAATGGCTCCTATCAAAGGCTGCATGATCAGGACAAAGGGGTAGTTCCACGCCCCGATGATCAGGACTAGGCCCAGGGGCTCGCGATGGATGTAGGTCTTGTCGGTCAGCGTCAGGATGGTCTTTTCCACGTCCTGAGGGCTGGCCCACTCAGGAAGCTTCTCCAGCATCAGTTCAATCTCTCCCAGCACGATCATCAACTCGTAGCTGAAGCTGTTGTACTGACTCTGTTAGAGAGGCGAGAGGAGTTTGGGTTTAAAAATAATAGGTCTGCAGCGGAATAAGACCCAAAGGGCTTTTCCCGCTTGGCCTCCAGCTGAAGCCTCCTCTGCTTGTGCAAGTGGGTGCCCTCCCTATTAGCTGGAGTAAGACTTCCAAAATTCATGACCACAGGAGCTGAGAAGCCTGCGAATTACAGTCTGGAGGGCACCGGTTGGAAGGGGCAACGATGTCCAGATTTCAGGATTGATTTTGAGGCAGGCCAGGTCAAGAAATACTAGAAGTCTACTTTATTGACATAGGTTAGAGCAGTGTTTCTCAACCTTGGCAACTTTTAAAAAGGGGGGGTGTTCTATTCCCCCAACCCCCCCCGCGCCGCCCTGCGTCGGGGGGGGGTGGTGTGGTCTGAGTGGTCTTGTGTGATTT